GTTCGTAGCGCAGCGTTAGCGCTAACCGCTGCACTGCCGCTCCCTTAAACGACAACCGCCACCACCACCTACAGCCGCGGGTTGCTGTTCGGCACGTAAGCGGCGGCAGCGGCGGTCGACGGCGATTGGCAAAGACAACTCCGCGGGGACGGGGGAGGGGTTGAATACACAGTAGGTACAGCGTGTCCACGAAATAACATTGTGCGGGCACATCCGCGTCTCGTACACATATCGGGAGCACGGGTGGTTAAGGGGACCCCGAAAAACGTAGTGACGTTTCGGCTGTGTTCCTCGCTCGCTTTTTTTGTCAACAATAATATCTATATATATTATTTAAAAAAAACTAACTGTGAATGATCTATAACGCGAGGTGTCCGTGGGCTAAAGAGGAAGGCGTTTCGTGGTCGTCGGTTTTGTTTAAACAAATCCCCTTCCGTTGACGCGCACACGATGCCGGCAGCACTAGCAGCACACAACGGTGTCGAGGTCTGCCGCTGTGGGCCAAGACGACAGCTGGATATAAGCACAGCTGTTGTGAGCACGCAAAACGTCTCTCCTCTTGAGATGCGGCGAGGCGCCTTCGATCGAACTAAACGCCGCCCGCAATGACCGCCAACGGCTTTTCTCTTTCCTTCACGCGACGACGTCGGCCAAAGAGAAGAAAGATTAAAAGAAGCACCGTCCCGATACGCCACGCGCCGTCGCACGGCACCGGCGAACGAGCGAGCGGGGGGTGGCTGGGGAGGAGAGGCAGAGGGGAGCTCGCGACACTTCCCCTCGCTCCGCGGCGGGGCTCTACTTAACGCCAGCGGCGAGGGGTGTTGCTTGCATCCACGGCTGCTTCTGGGTCGCCCGCCAACCCCCCCACCTCGTGAACGAGCCCGCTAATTCGTGGAGACACCAGACCACTGTCACACGGGGAGACAAAATTCCGCGTTCTTTGCGAGACGTTTTCTACGTACGTGCGGCAAACCGTTTTTTTTTTCACCGTTTGCGTTGTTGTTGTTGTTGTTTGTTACCGGATATTTTCATGCAGTTACCGGTAATGCCCGAGTCCCCACGAGGGATCCACTCTTTCTCACGTTCTCAACGCCGACGCGCCGACCCGCATCTCGTACCCCACCCGCATCCATGCGCCTTTGCTCACGTATCCACGTGGCCCACCGTACACCGCCGTGGACAGCATTGATATGTGCGGCGACGCCGCTGCTATACAAGCGAGAGATCACTCACCACCGTGGCCACAACAAACAAAAAATTGTACATCCGTGTGGTCAAGAGCACCGCGCGAGAGAGAGCTACATATATATGAACGAATAAAAAAAAAACCTCAAATCACAAAACATGTGACGATGACGACGACGCTCACGACAAGGGGGGGGGGGTGGTGACGCGGGGCCGTCATGGAATGTGTGCCACCGTTCCAGAGATGCCCTAACTAAAGCAGCGGGATGTGTGTGTGTGTGTATATACTTGATGCGGTGTGCCGGGTGTGGAAATATCTTCCGGGTCGACGGTGGAATCGAGTCGGTGGCAGGCGGTATACGTAAACGAGCAGCCGCAGCCATAACAAGCGGAATACTGGAAGCGTGTGCCGGATTGAGAAATAATTTCGGCGCCGTCGGCAAACCGGAATAGGTGGCACGTGGCTCGTGGCCACGTGCCATGGCGAGCGGTTTATACTGGATGCGGTGTGCCGGGCGTGAAATATTTTCCAGGTCACTGGTAGAATAAAATGTGACGCACGCGATGAGCAGCTACAGACGTAGAAGTAGGAGGTATACTGGATGCGGTGTGCCGGGTAGCCACGGCCATTTAAACGCACCGAGATGTGAGCATGGAGCATGCCGATAAATAACCCGGGCATTGCCCCTCTGCCAGCATGCAAAGCACATTGTAGTCAATAGCCTCATGATCAGCTGTGCCAACGTGAAAAGCACCCACACGTCCATAACTTATCATGTACATATATATACACGTATATATATATTTACGCGTATATATGAATGTAGAAATAATGAACGATGAATACAAAAAAATTGGGTCAACCAATTTTCTGACCGACAAACCACCGTGATATTTGCGGGAAGACCCGGCAAAAATAACCGTCTGGAAGCGGAACAATGGGCGGGATCGAGGCCGCACCGTGTCGCACCGCGTCGCACCACGTCGCACCGCGTCGCACCGCGTCGCGGATCTCACCGCACGCGGTGTGGGCCCCCCGACGATGGGGGCAGCACCCAGATGGGTCACAGCGAGTCACGTGGGCACCGATGGACGTAGCGCTACCCACATCGCCTCCATGCGTGGCGACCGACACTGTGAAATGCCACCCGACGCTTCACGACGACGACGACGCCAACGCGGTTCCGCCGACCGTCACCACGACAGATGGGGGGGGGGGGCGGGGGGGGGGGGCACGCGTGGCACGACGCGCGGTGACGCGGGGGCCAAGGTTCTCAAAGACGTCACTACGCAAAAAATTCCGCCCCCCTCCCCACCATCCCCCCCTGACCGCCGCCCCCCTCTACCCACCACCCAGCCTGCCCACCTCTCCCCTGCCGACTACCCCCCCCCCCACCCTCCTACCCACAACGCATCAACGGCAGTCAAAACGGCCGAATGTCGCGGCACGTTGATGATCGCGACGCGGCGAACGTGGTCGGCAGCGGGGAAGTGCAGCGAGATCCCACCGTTGGCACTGCACTACGGCGCGCCACGTCCACGCTCCCCGCCTTCACCACGCCCGCGACGACCGGGCGTGGTGAAGCACGGCCAAACGGCACCTCCCCGTGACCGACAAGGGGCGGTGTCGGGGGTAGGACGTCACCCGGGAGCGGATCGGACAAAGCGGCTGTGGAAAAGGAAGCGCTAGCCGCTCGAGCCGCTCGTCGATGGGGGAGAGCGGGGGGGGTGGTGTTGGTGTTGATGGCGTGGTGGGTTACGATTTAAAGTCCCAACCACCGCATTGCATGCAGTTGCCCCGCGTAGAAAAGGATCCCCTCCTCCCCTCGGAACACGAGTTCCTTGCTACAGCACCGAGGGAGCCCAGGTTAAGATCCCGCGCATCTTGTACGGTGCAGGAAACCACGTCTTGTTTCCAGGAGAGAGTGGGCGAATCATTTACATCAGTGTCGGATAATCAGCATCACACGCGGCATGCGGTGTGTGTTTGTCTGTTTTTAAACAGTATATAAAACAGCAGTTTTTTTTTACATTTAAATAGCTTTTGTTCGTTTTTACCACGGAAGGAAAAATAAATACAAGGCCGCACATAAATTAATTAAAACGTCGTGAAATTTGTCGCCTGCCGATTTATAAAACGTTGCAGATAAACTCACCGATCAACTTTGGAATTTCAAAACAGTTCTGGATTACTTTGTAATCTTATTGCAAAGCTAATGACTCCGGCATTACATCGCTGCCTTTCTCGCTGCCACTATGAGTTTCATTTCTGGGATATCCAATCAATCGTACGACTTGGTTTGACGTCATCTCACGAAATAAAAATGTCTATGCGATCGCTCGCCGGGGATTTTTCATCATAGGGTCTGCATATTGACGAGGCAGCGATTTGGCACGGCTCATCTTCACAGTTCAGTCACACCGATGTTTTAAGACGACATAATCCATCGACAATTATTCAATTCACTCGGTGACCAAACGCCTGGGCTCGGTGGGGGGGTAAGCAGGCAATATGGATCGTTTCACACTGAAATTGTAATTGGCACAATTATATATTTTAAAAGATTTCTGCAAAGGACCGCACGTTACCCCGTACTGTGAACAAAAATAATGATGTTTTACCCTTCATGAGCAATAAAACAGGTGTTAACGTGTTCAAACACCAAATAACCACAATACCAGTGGTGAACATGCTAACAAACATGCTCTGTTCATTCTAGATTTGAAGCTTTCGTGACTGCAAGGATTCATACTCTTTGCTTTTTTCGGTCAAGTCACGTAGGTAAAATAAAATTTAAATAAAAGAAAACAACTAAATAAAATCACGACGTTTCGGAGGCAACACAAGCTTCTGTCTTCAGGTGGGAGAGTCACAGCAAGATAGCTGCATCTTGTTTACCTACGTGACTTAACCGAAAAAACCAAAGAGTATGCTCTGTTCAGTGTGTGTTGTGGGCTAATCAGTTTCAAAGACAATGCCATATATAATTATCAGACCATGTTTGTTTGCATGCTCAACACAAGTACTGTGTGGCTAATGCAGTAACATTATTCCTTGCAAAAAGGTATCTGTTTGATGTTTGAACATCTTAACACAACTCCTGTTTTGTTTCCAGTTATTTTTCATACGTTGATAGTGGCAAAAAAGGTCCCCCGAGCCGCCCCCCACAGTGTTCAAGAGCGCAGAAGGGTGGTCAACACATCTATGCCTCTATATAAGGAACGAAACAGTTAGACTTCTCCACAAATCTGGTTGTCGCCTGAAACGTCGTACTCAGCTTGTAAATGTTGTGGCTTGGCTCTCCAACACACCGGTTAGTGCTGTACTCGTGACGAATTGGCCACGTTCTGTTGACGTGACAACCCTTACTAGTTGGCTGTGTCGGGTGGTGGCGGGTTTTAACGACACATTTATACATTTACGCGATCTAACCCAAAAACCTCTATTATGGATGATATTGGTCGCGAAAGCCTCCTGCGTGTTAAACCAACCAATACTGAGAATTTTTTTTGTTTTTTAAACGGCGCGTTAACTCTACGAGTCGCGTCATCGTCTCTTTGTGAATGAGCCGCGGGGATGTCGGCGGCGGAGGGGGGGGGGGGGTTGCTCGGGGAGAAGTTTCGATTGCCGTGGGTTCGTATTCACATCGTCGTCCGTAACAATATACACAAGTGCTAAACCGAACGCACCTCCACAGCAACAACAATAATTATTGTTCTTCAGAGTTTGGTCTTTTAAAAACTAGCATTCGACATGAAACAGTTACCCAGAATTCCGCACGGGCTACACAAATCCAGAAAGTGTCTTCTGCAACGACATTCCCAAACCGAATTTTAAAAAAAAATTAATAAACCCGGAGAAAGGAGAACGGGGAGCGCGGCGCAAAGCGAGACGCGCTCAGCATGCACGGAGAGTAAACATCGCGAGCGGGCACGCAGCCCGGGCGAGCGTGGCGACGAGGACCAGTGGCGATCGCGCAGACGCTGGGTCATTCGCGCGCGCGTGTGCCACGCTCGTCAAGGAGGACGCCGTGATCGCGGCCGCTGATGCTTGTCGAGATGGGCAGCAGCAGAGACCTCTCGCCCGCACGCCCCCCACCTCTGCCGCCCCCCCCCCCCCCCCCCCCCCGCCAGCGTAAATATAAACCCGGCGATACGAATCGCGTCCGCACGCAAGCCCACGCTTACGCACGGCCGCCAAGGCGCAGCGAAGCTCGCCCGGACCCTGAACCACGCCGCGCTCAGCTCAGCGGCAGCAACACAAATAATTGGACCGTGGTTACTAAACAAAGTAAAAATAAAACAACACCGCCCCCCCCCCCCCCCCCCCCCCGGGTACGAAAGGGAATAAACGTTACCTCCGATCGCGGCTGCAGCAATGCCCCTTGCGTGTGTGTGTGTTGTTTTTTACGTTTAGTTTTTGTTAAGTTCGAGTTTGGAGAGCGATGAGTGTAGCGCGACCGCGGGCTTCTCCCTGGTGGTAGTCTCACCGCCACCGCCGTCACCGCCGCCGTCGCCGCCGCCGCCGCCGCCGCCGCCGCCCGGCGACGAGCGGGCGCGGCCGAGGCGCCCTCGGGCCTCTTAGCAGATCTTGGTGATGGTGACGCTGCCCTTGATCTTGAGCGTGTTGATGAGCGACACCGACTGCACGCGGTGGCAGAAGTCGAAGATGAGGTGTCCGTCGACGCTCACCTTGAAGCGCTGGTGCTCGCACGCGATCTCCAGCTGGCGGAGGACAGGGGCGGCGGTGGGGGGGGGGGGCACGGCGGGTCAGTCGGCGCGCTCTCATTGTTACTTGTTACGTTGTTGTTGTTGTTGTTGTTTTTTTTCTCGATTTAAAGCTTTCGTGACTGCAAGGATTCATCTTCTTTGGTTCTTTCGGTAAAGTCGTGTAGAATGAGAATAAAATAATAAATTGATAAAATAAAATAACACAATAATATTCTCACGACGTTTCGGCCACAACACAAGCGGCCTTCATCAGGTGAAAGTCTCGTCCCTTCACCTGATGAAGGCCGCTTGTGTTGTTGCCGAAACGTCGTGAGAATATTATTGTGTTATTTTATTTTATCAATTTATTATTTTATTCTCATTCTACGTGACTTTACCGAAAGAACCAAAGAAGTTGTTGTTGTTGTTGTTTGTAATGTTATTTTAGTTGTTTGTAACGTTATTTTGGTTCTTGTTGTTGTTTGTAATGTTATTTTAGTTGTTTGTAACGTTATTTTGGTTGTTTGTTGTTGTTGTTTGTAACGTTATTTTAGTTTAACACGTAGGCTTTAGCAACCAATAACATCCATCAGCGTTGTTTTGGGTTAGATGGCGTGAATATATAAATGTGCCCTTACTAGTTGGCTGTGTCGGGTGGTGGCGGGTTTTAACGACACATTTATATATGAACGCGATCTAACCCAAAAAAACCTCTATTATATGGTTATTTTAGTTGTTATTTGTAACGCAAACATTGACAGCGTCCAAGCGCAGACCAGAAGAGGCTGGTCCAGGGTCAATGGCAGTACAAAGACAATCCCCCATATAGCCTTGAACGGACTGTTAGGGCAAGTGCTGTTAGGGAGCAGCACCTACGAAGGCCGGTACGGCACACGGGGGGGTGGGTGACCAGCACCACGCCCGGCCGCCTTTGTCTCCCCAGTGGCGGCGACGTGTACACACCGCACCAGGTCATTATTTGAGGCTGAGTCGACCTAGGGGAGGCCCAGGACCGGTTCAGATATATAATCATCACTGGTGTTGGCCGTGAGCGGTGAATCGAACCCGGGTCGCTGGGCTAGTATCACAGCACGCTAACCACTACACTACCAGCTCGGAACTGACACACATACACACACACACGACCTCCAGCTGACCGGCACCTCACGTCAACCACCAACATCTTCATCACTACCAACAGCCGCGGACCGGCACCACCTCGAGCATCACGCCAACTCCATCACGGGCTGCTGCGGGGCCCCCGAGCGTGGCCCGAGCGAGCGCCCCGTGCCCGCCTCGCCGATGGCGCCCGCGCAGAGGGGGGAACTGACCCGGAAGGGCTGGTCCAGCGTGAAAGGGAAGTAAGGCAGCGTAGACTCCTCCTTGCCCCAGGAGCCGGAGAGCATGGTGTTCCTGAGGATGGCGCGCGGGCCGAAGAGCGCCGCCATGTTGAAGGCCACGTCGGCCGTGGTCCAGTCGCCGCACGTCAGGCTCACCGTGAAGCTGCTCGCTCGCACAAACATCCCCCGACCCCGCCCAGTGTGGCATCAGCAGACCGCTGGGGCGAGCCCCGTTGGCGGGGGGCCGACGGAGGCCGCAACGGATTCACGAGGGAGGGCGTGGCTCTGCCCAGCACCGCGCCCGGCCGCTTGTGTCTCCCCGGTGGCGATGTTGACACGTCGCACCAGGCGCTCATTTGAGGCCGAGTCGACCTAGGCGACGCCCACGACCGGTTCAGATAATCGTCACAGGTGTTGGTGACCGAGAGCGGGAATCGAACCCGGGTCTCAGGGTTCGAGGCGCAGCGCGCTAACCGCTACACTACCGCTCCCCAGGTACACGCGCACATACACACGCAACAACATCAATTAATCACAACTCATCATCACCAACGCCATCGTCGATCCCTTCTCCCTCAAAACTCCTGCAATAACAACATTGCTGAATTCCGTTACACGTCATTCACTCTCATCCGTTACAACTCTCACCGTGCTCTTTCGCTGGCGTTTTGGCAAAAACGCGACTTAAAAAAATAACAACCCAAAATCGAACCGAAAAAAACAAACACAAACTCCGTAACCCATCCCCGCTCGCCCGCCCGCCCGGCACCTGTCTGGATTCTTGTCCACGATGCCCATGATGGTAATCTTCATGCCGACGCGCAGGCCGTTCTTTATGTTGCCGGAGAATGGCACGGCCTGCGAGCGGAGACACGCGCGGGGTTATGTCACACGGGGCGCCGACGAGGGCACGGAGACCGGCAAACAAAGACTTAGATCCCCCCCACCCAACCCCCACCGTATAGCCTTAACGGACTGTTGGGGTGAGTGCTACGAGCGAGTAGAGCCTACGAAGGCCCGCACGGCGCACGAGGGGGCGCCGTGGGTGGCCAGCACCACGCCCGGCCGCCTTTGTCTCTCCGGTGGCGACTGACTCTGACCAGAGAAGAGGCTAGAGATTAGAAGCTCACGGAGAGAGAACAGATCCGAGCAGCCGACGACCCCATGCGACAGCGCGGGACGGAAGGGCCTCTTGGTCAGCGAGGGGAAGAAGAGGCGGAGCGACATTGTCCACCACTACATGGGAGCTTCTGAACATTGGCCGCTCGCTGGCGCGATGATCTGATTGGCGGCACGGGAGAGCGCGCGCGCAGAGCCTCCTGCCGTGTCAACGTGCGGTCGCAGAGTCTGCGGCGCGGGTAAACGGAACGCAGGCAGAGGCTCAATTAAAGTGAGAGCACAACGCCCGCCCGCCCGCCCGCCCGCCTGCGCACTCTAATGAGCCGATCGCCGGGCACAGCTGGGCCAAATTCGCCAAATTCACTTTCCATCTCCGAGAATTCCACGCCTAGAAGCGGGGCTTGGCAAAAAAAAAACGCCGCAAATCGCCGTTAATTAGTGGCAGGCAGGCGACGCTCCCGCCGGAGTGGCGGCCAAGGGAGGGAGCGTGCCCCCCAAAGAGGACATGGCGGCGGCGTTCAACCAGCAGTGGATGGATCACGGCCGATGGCGACGGCAATGGGAGCGATTAAATCGACTCGTGCTCAGGAGCTACGCAGGTCGACCCATTGCACCCCCCCCCCCCCAGAGTTAATTACACATACGGCCGAGCCTGACCGAGACAAGCAATTAGGGGGACCAAAAACCTCGTTCCGATAACGACCCCTTTAAAAGGCCGGCACACAACGGCTGCGGCTGTGTGGGCACATTACTAAATTGCACGGCTGTGTAAAAAATAAAAACGCGTGTGTGTGTGTGTGTAAAAAGTGGGGAGCGGTGGCGTTGCGGTTAGCATGCTGCGCTACGAACCCGGCAACCTGGGTTCGATTCCCGCTCGCGGCCAACACCCAGTGACGATTATCTGAACCGTTCTTCCCCTAGGTCGGCTACCCCCAGGCGACCAAGCCTCAAATGAGTACCTGATGCTGCGTGTAAAACATTACCAAAGAGAGAAAAGGTGGCCGGGCGTGGCGTGTGCCGTACCCAGCTTTCATCGGTGCTCGCTAACAGCACTTGCTTAAAGTCTGTTCAGGCTATACGGGGAATCTTTGTCTTTGTTTTGTAAAAGGTAAAGGGGAAAGGGGCGATCCTGAAAGTTATTTACTTTGCCTGACCACTCCACAGCTGGTGGAAGGTTCTCCCCACTAGAGGCGCAGCACTTGAAGGCATTTTGGCCTACTCTTCCACGCTGACCAGACATCTTCTCGGAAAGGGTGTGTGCGAGCACCCACACCTTACCCCCACTGCACACGGACCAGCCGAACGCAGCCTCGCTGCGGTGTCCTTGTTTACGCGAGGGGGGCATCGTTAGCAAGCGCGCACCGTCATCTCGACCGCCGGGCCGGGGGGGGTGACGGGAATCGAACGGGCGACCTCTGGATGGCAAGGTCCAGCGTGCTGCTGACCGTTAGGCCACCGCTGTGGGCAGCGGCGCACGTGGGCACGTGCGATGGAAAAAAAAGTTTCGCTCTAGGGTGGAATGTCTCCATCGGATGAAACCAGACGGTGCAGCAGCGGCGGCGGCGGTCTGAACCGAGCGCCAATCATCGCAACGACAAAATGCCCCGCCCTCCCCTCTCGCAAGCATTTACGCAAGAGGTGAACGGGCAGTATGTATGTATATAAATCCCCCCCAGTGAAGGGCATGTGTGTGTGTATGTGACAATGCTGCGTTACAAGGGTGCGGTTTAGGAAAGGCCGCTAATTTGATTTGTAAAGGATTTGGGTTTCGCCGCGGGAGAAGGGAGCGGGAATGCCGGGGGGTGGGCGCTTGGATTGCCCTGACGCTCGGGGTGGGGGGTGGGGGTGGGTGATGGGGGTGGGTGATGGGGGGGGGGCGGGTGGAGGGGCGGGTGGGGGGGATCACCCACCTTCGACACGCGGGGTCATCACGACGCGGTCACACACATATGTCGCAGGTCCAACATTTCAAAATCATCCGAACGCTGCACATGGGTGTGTAACCGTGAAAGCTGAGTTTTGAGAGGGTGTGGGATCAGTTGGGTAATAAGTCAACGGATTGACTTGCGCGCGCGTGCGAACGAGCGTATCAGGACGCACAGTTACCACCGCGCCAGCGTGGATGACAAAGTCGCTTTGTTCCGAGCAAGTCCGACACCGCGGTATTTCAAGGCGAGTTTCCCCATTCTCAAGAAAGGTGGGCGAACGGCGATCGCGATTTCACAAATTTGCAAAAAAAATCCCTGTAATCATAGCCAGTGTGATGTGAAGCACATCCAAACACCACACGAGTCACATGTACCACTGGAAAGATCATCTTTATACCAACAACGCTCGCTTGGTTACGTATTTATTTTTGTTGCGCCAGATGTGGATAATGGACGGTGGCAGTGAATGCGCGGCCATCGCTGCTGTGCTCAATCTTTGGAGGCTGATATCACAGATAACATAAAACCCAATTGGTTTTTACAAATTTACTGTGCTGAGAGATAAACTTCTGTAGATGTAACTGGTGAAAAAAAAAAAGCATTTACTGTGCTTTCGCGAGGTGTAAAGTAAATAGCCCAAACAATAACTGGAACCAAAATGCGTTTGGATGCCTGCCAATCGCAAAGCAGTCTAGTTAACAAAACAACAATCCCTAATGCTAAAGACGTTGGTTTGTGGATTCCGAGTCTGCACGACGGGATGCTCTTCCGTGGCCCGCTCCAATCATTCGCGGAATCTCACGCGCAGCGGCGTCGGTTGTCGGCGGCCACTTTAAGCGAGACGTTTGAACGCCGCACGGAGCGCGTGCGAGCAGCGGGCCCCAAGCCTCCCGAGCCGCGACCGGACACCGTCGCTCGCCGCGTGCCGCGCGCGCTCGACGGCGCGGCCACGCGCTAGCGGCGAAGAGATTCCCGACGTCGCCCGACGCAAAATCCGTCCGCCAGCCAACACCGAGCGCGACTCAACGACCGCCCGGCGACGAGCGCCAACTCTGCTGGCGCTCGTCGCCGGGATGATTGATCGGCCCAGCGCAGCCAGCTGACGAAGAGAGCGGGGAACGTCGCACGGGGCTAATCGCATTGCGGGCAACATGATGTAACGTGAATGGACAATTGATTTTTAAAAGGGCCGTTAAGTTTTGATTTAAAGCTTTCGTGACTGCAGTAATTCATATTCTTAGCTCTTTCGGCAAAGTCACGTTGAAGGGAAACAATAAAATATATATAAAACAATAAAAATTCTCACGACGTTTCGACCATAACACAAACGGTCGTCATCAGGTGTGTCGGTTTGCATATATTTATTTATTTAAACGTTGCATTTATTTATTTATAAAAAAAAACGTCAGCGCCACGCGCAGCGATTTGGCAGTTTATTTAGAAGGACGAGTCCATCTATGTTGTGAAAAGAGGAGGGGCCGTTAGGGTGAACAAAGAAGCAACCCACCTGCGGCAACGTTCTCAACAGCGTGACCACACACGTTCCGTGGACAGCCCCTCTGGCCAATTTGTCACCGGATTCGGGATGTGTGGATCGTGGGAGTTATTTCACCAAAACGTTACCGCGCTAGGGCCAGTGCGGGCCGGCGAATGAAGGAAGCGTAGACGCGGCGGCATGGAAGTAAGAGTTCAACAATCGAAGAAATATTCATATTCTTAGCTCTTTCGGTAAAGTCACGTTGAAGGGAAACAATAAAATAATAAAATATATATAAACAATAAAAAAATTCTCACGACGTTTCGACCATAACACAAACGGTCGTCATCAGGTGTGAAAAAAACCAACGGCAAGAAACGTTTGAAAAATAAATTAATTAATACAAACCGACACTTTTCTTTCAAATGTTTCTTGCCGTTGGTTTTTCACACCTGATGATGACTGCTTGTGTTATGGTCGAAACGTCGTGAGAATTTTTATTGTTTTATATATATTTTATTATTTTATTGTTTCCCTTCAACGTGACTTTACCGAAAGAGCTAAGAATATGAATTACTGCAGTCACGAAAGCTTTAAATCAAAATCGAAACAATGTCACGCGTAGATCCAAACGCGCCACCGCGTACGGCAAGCCAGGGAGTGAACAGAGCTTGCAGGGTTAAAAACGGCCAGAGCCAGGGCGGTAAAAGCCAGGTTAGAGAGGTGCGTTTTCAAGACATAACGATGAATGTTGCTGCACTGCCATTGCCTACGCACCACGTAGGCCCGCAAGCCACCCACGGCAACCCGCTACGGGCATGGCGGTTACCTATCCGGGCACAATCAAGGTTTACTCAGATGGTAAACGCTGTTGACTCTCCAACACACCGGTGTGCTGTACTAGTGACGAACTGGCACGTTCCGTTTACGTGACAAACCTCACTAATTGGCTGGTTTAACGACACATTTATATTTACGCGATCTAACCCACATGAAACCTCTATTATGGTGAAACGTATATTGGACCCGTGCTCGGGCGCGTAACAAGTGTCGCTGTGTGTGTGTGTGTGCTCGCGTGCGGACATGTGTTTTGCGTCAAGTGGCAGACTGCACCCACCAGAATGCTTGCACTGTGCTCCTTATTGTCGTGGTTTTCAGACTGCAGAGGCGGGGGGGGGGGGCACACGGGTGAAGAGAGAAAGTGGAAGGAAACGTCAGTGGCCGACGCGCCACGCAAACACGCACGGGGGACCTCACGACGAGAGGCGATTCACCGCGCGTCGCACAACAAAGGGGGCACGCTGCCGTGGTGTGTGACAAGGGGCTCAGCACGCCGGCGGACTTGCAGGAGAGAGGTCGCCGGGCCGGTTCGATCTCCCGGCGCGGCAGTTGGAACGGCGCAGGCTTCCTAAGTCCCTCCGTCTCTGCGCAGCCGGAAGTATACATGGATACACCGGCGGTTAGTCCATTGGCAGGTCACGCGCGATGGGGAAAAAGGGGTGGGCACTCCTACCTCTAACGAGACGTCTGGCCAGTGTGGAAGAGTAGGCCGAATACCATGTGCAGGGGCTCTCGAGACCTCCCTCGAGTGGCGGTTTGTCCGCCAGCAGTGGCGTGAGCGAGCTTTTGCAGGGCTGCCCCCTTTAACTATGTTGCTCGCAACATGCTAACGGAGTTGGCAGTCGAAAGGGTTGACGAAGTTTGGTTTCTCATTGCCAAGTGGCAAATGGATCGGGGGGGGGGCGGGGGGGGGGCGGCAATGCGCTACGGACAATCGCAACAAAGATGGTGGTCACGCGGGGGGGGGGGGGGGGGGGGCGAGGGGGTCGGTGGATCACAGCATGAGCGTCGGAGTTTGGTTGCGATTGGTGCAATCTTAACACGGCACCATCACACGCGGATATCTGCTTTTCCCAGCTCAATGTTCTCATGCGTTCACAACGCAGCGAACTGATCAAAAGGATAAACGGCTAGGAAATCCCGAAATGCTCGACGATTGGCAAGAATGGGTACAAGCTGTGTGTTAACGGTTTAAAAAACAAGAATAAAACTTAATGACCCCATTTCGGAAGACCACGATGAGAAGATAATTTGGTGGACCTTGCAGTGAAACGGTGGCTTTGTACGACGCCGTGGCTTGCCATTTTATACAGGCCAACAGTGAGGTTTGATAGAACTGCACATATCTTTTATTGGCACAATTTTAAACAAACCTGTCAACTCCTTATCAGTGCCCTACCTTATTACAGACCAATTCTGACCTTATAAATCTCAACGTTCATCCTACAAAGTCCCATCACAAGGGCGAAACACAAATAAATAGACAAAATTTACGTTACTAAACAAAAACAGTTTCATGCATTAATTTTGATCATGGGTGTCAATGGTGCTACGTATCATGCTGTGATCTTGCATGCTGCTGCTTGCGCTTGATATAAAAAAAGCTGCCCCACGACTTTGTATTATTTGGCCATATGATTCTAGATTTGAAGTTTTCGTGACTGCAATGATCCATACTCTTTGGTTCTTTCGGTAAAGTCACGTAGGTAAAAAATAAAATTAATCAAATCACAATTGATTAACTTTATTTTTATTTTATTTTTACCTACGTGACTTTACCGAAAGAACCAAAGAGTATGGCCATATGATGTTTTGTTGCTGCCCGTATTGAAACGGCTGTACGCCGTATGGACCTCAAAACTTAATTTCCCTGTACAAGACTACAGCGTGAACCATATGGGCTGACGAGTATGAAGGCTAAAACGGTCACTTTGTGGTGTCGTCGTCGGTGGCCGCTGCTGACAATTATTAATTCCCACGTGCATTTGGATAAGTGAATAATTTCACTTGTGCACTATTTTATATTCCCACATTTTGAATAAAAAAAGACCAACGTCAATGTTCGTCACGTTTTTTTTCTTGTTTTTAAAGTGGATGTTTAATCCCAGCCGGCAGTGGCGTAAGATTCGCCGAAATATATAAAAACCCGCGCTGTGATCTAATCGTCCGGAACGACCCGGGTTAAAATTCAGAGGATTAGAGTGCATTTTGAGCAGCCATGAGATTAATTACAACCCAGGAAGAACCAAAGCAACACATTTCACACACGTGATATACACGGGGTTTTCGATTTTTTTGTTCGTACAACTAAAAAAAAATTCAAAAATTTAATTGACAAATTCAATTAACAGATGAGCGCTCCAATGTACGGATGGTCCTTTAAGGTTAATCCACTGCCGGATGAATGGCTCGACACGCCGCGCCGGTCAGGGTTGTGCGAGCACACTTCACCGCACGAAGCAGAGTGTGAGGTTAGCGAGCTCTCTGGCCGAGCAATTGAATTCTAGTGGGGGCGGGGGCGGGTTGCATGATGCAGTGCGCTAACCACTGCACCACCGCTCCGCCTCGGGTACGCATTGGAGGCGAGCGAACACAACAGCGGGAACGCGAGAGCGCGTGCGACCATAGGAAAAAAAAACCGCAATCAACGACGCCTCTTCTGATTTGTACCGGAAGATTTCAGACAAAAGGAAAAGCTGGCCGACGATAAACAGCTGCGATGGTTTTGTAACCGAATTGCGACTCGCTTCCCCCCCCCCCCCCCTCTAGGAATGGAATGGTGAGCGAGGTGAGGGACAGTGAGCGAGGTGAGGGACGGTGAGCAAGGTGAGGGACGGTGAGGCACAGTGAGCGAGGTGAGGGATGGTGAGTGAGGTGAGCGAGGTGAGGGACGGTGAGCGAGGTGAGGGATGGTGAGTGAGGTGAGCGAGGTGAGCGAGGTGAGGCAGGGTGAGGCACAGTGAGTGAGGTGAGGGACGGTGAGGGATAGTGAGCGAGGTGAGCGAGGTGAGGGACGGTGAGCGAGGTGAGGCATGGTGAGCAAGGTGAGGCATGGTGAGCGAGGTGAGGGACGGTGAGCGAGGTGAGGCATGGTGAGCAAGGTGAGGCATGGTGAGCAAGGTGAGGCATGGTGAGTGAGGTGAGGGCTGGTGAGCGAGGTGAGGCATGGTGAGCAAGGTGAGGCACGGTGAGTGAGGTGAGGCATGGTGAGCGAGGTGAGGCACGGTGAGCGAGGTGAGGCACGGTGAGCGAGGTGAGGGATGGTGAGCGAGGTGAGGCAGGGTGAGCGAGGTGAGGCAGGGTGAGCGAGGTGAGGCAGGGTGAGCGAGGTGAGGCAGGGTGAGTGAGGTGAGGCACGGTGAGTAAGGTGAGGCATGGTGAGCGAGGTGAGGCACGGTGAGCGAGGTGAGGGACGGTGAGCGAGGTGAGGCATGGTGAGCGAGGTGAGGCATGGTGAGCGAGGTGAGGGACGGTGAGCGAGGTGAGGGACCATGAGGGATGGTGAGCGAGGTGAAGGCAGAGGATCTCGTGATTGTTGAGGCTGAATAAGCAAAGAAAAGCACGGAGCACTGAATGGGTGTCATGATAAAGGGACTCACAATAAAGACAAAGATCCCTCGTATAGCTTTCAGCAGACTGTTGGGGCAAGTGCTGTTAGCGAGTAGCACCTATGAAGGCCGGCACGGCACATGAGGGGGTGGGTGGCCAACACCACGCCCAGCCGCCTTTGTCTCCCCAGTGGCGACGTTTACACACCGTACCAGGTACTCATTTGAGGCCGAGTCAACCTACGGGAGGCCCAGGACCGGTTAATATAATCGTCACCGGTGTTGGCCGTGAGCGGGAATCGAACTCGGTAAGCCGGGTTCCTAACGCGTCATGACAACCGCTGCACGAGAGCGCTCCCCAATGCACACATTCATACACACGCACACGCTTACACACCTACATACACACACACATTCACACACACACACACACGCTTACACACCTACCCATACAACAACAACCGCCATTCGCGACTAAGTGGCGGTGACGTCACCACGACGCTTGTGCCAGGCCATGTGCACCTTGAGGCCACGTGAAGTGTCGAACGCCCGCTGGCAGGAGGTCACGGGGCAGACCCAGGTGCCACGGGTCGACTGACTGAGATGACTGACTGATGCACCACCTGTGCCCCCTACTGTGCCAACCATGCACACATTCATACACACACATACGCTTACACACCTACCCATACACACATTCATACACACACACATGCATACACACACACATTCATACACACACACGCTTACACTTACATACACACACATGCTTACACACCTACCCCTACACACATTCACACACACACGTCCTCCTGTACCACATCACTCCATCTCTTCTCTAGCCCGTGCTGCGCCCGTTTAGCCCCCTCGATCCGGCCGAACAAAAGCTGTTTTGGCATGCTGTGGCTGGGCATCCGGGCTACATGACCCAGCCAACGCAGACTTGCCTGCCGGAGGAGCTCACCGATGGGACCTTGCCCAGATCTTTCAAGGATTTGTGAGCTCCTCACACAATCCAGTCTGGTTAAACCCAGGATGGACCATAGGCAGGGTAGCCCAAATGTTTCTAACCGGCGAAGATGTTCCATTAGGGGGGTCCACGTTTCACAAGCGTAGAGAAGGGAGGGAATGACCGTCGAGAAGACCTGAAGCTTAGTGCGGAGCGACAGACCAGGTAGCTTCCACACAGCATTACGCAACCGATGAAAAGATAATGCCGCTCGACTGATTCGGAGTGAGACCTCTCCTGTTAAACTGGAGCCGGTCATAAGCACACAGCCCAGGTTTGGGAAACTCTCCACTCTTTCCACAACTGCCCCATCACCGATTGGGAGTTGTGGGGGTGGAGTGTCCGATGGTACAAAATACCCAGGCAGGTGCTTAGTTTTGGTGGGGCTGATGGTAAGGCCCCATCTCTTAGTGGCACGCTCCAGTCTCAGCAGCAGCGTCTCCAACGCCTCCTCTGAATGAGCAGCTATTACCAAATCATCGGCATACATAACGTGGTTGAGCAATAGGGAGCCATCCCTTGACCGCACCCGGGCATCGATCAGCCTCCCATTATATCTGTACCAAATGGAGATTCCCCCGGTACAGCTATTGAAGGCTTCACGAACTACGTGGTCAAAATAGATGTTAAATAATGTGGGAGCCAGAGGACATCCCTGTCGCACCCCAAGGTGTACAGGGAATGGCTCTGACTCCCGGCCACGTAGTTTTACCCGGGCCCGCTCACCATCATGAAGGTCCTTAATGATCGTGAGCAGAGGGTCAGGGACTCCAAAAGCACGAAGAACAACCCAGAGCCCACACAGAGACACGTACAGAGCCACGGAATTTGTCCCAACAGGGGCAAATTCGGAATTTGTCCCAACAGGGACAAATTCCGTGGCACGCGCATACACACACGGACTCGCGCGCAATAACACAAAGATCCCCCGTATAGCCTGAACAGACTGTTGGGGCAAGTGCTGTTAGCGAGTATCACCTGTGAAGGCCGGAACGGCGCACGAGGGGGTGGGTGGCCAGCACTACGCCCGACCGCCTTTGTCTCTCCAGTGGCGATGTTTACACACCGCACCAGGTAGTCATTTGAGGCTGAGTCGACCTAGGGGAGACTCCAGGACCGGTTCAAATACTCGTCACTGATGTTGGCCGTGAGCGGGAATCGAACCCGCGTCGCCAGTTTCGTAGCGCAGCGTAGCGCTAACCTCGACACTACCGCTCCCCACAACACAAACACACATACTGACACGTACTGACACGTACACAGCGTACTGACACGCACACAACGTACTGACACGCACACAACGTACTGACACGTATTGACACGCACACAACGTACTGACACGCACACAACGTACGGACACGCACACAACAACGTATCCCTGGCACGGTGTTGTCAGCGAGCACCTATTAAGGCCGGGCATGGCGCACGAGGTGGTGTGGCCGGGCACCACGCTCGTGCCACGGAAACCGATTCAGACGCGATTCGCAGTGGCTGGGAATGGAGCTCAGGTGGCCGGGTTCGTAGCGCGGTGCGCTAACCACTGGCCCCACCGCTCCCTAGTACACACTCCGACGCACGCGTTTCATGCACGGACGTACGCCGAGAAGACGACACGCACAGCGGTACACCTCGCTCAAGCACCGCTGCCATATCCCAGCGCGCGCACACAGCGAGGGACGCCTCCATCCATCATTCAACACCGACCCGCGTTCGGCCTACACGTCTACCGGGCGTAGTCGCGCCCTTCTCGGTAGGGCTGCTAGGCAAGAGAGGTAAACCCCGAGGCGGGCCGGTCGCATGCGAGGAGCGCGGCGTGCGGCGCCCAGGAATCTCGGGAACGCGGCCCGAGCCGCGGCGGAGAGGGCCCCGCGAGAGACGCGCCCCGCCGGGTAGAGCTTCTCTCCCCCCCTCCACCACCCCTCACTCACGTTGTTGGCCATCGCGAACGAGCGAAGCGGCGCTCCGGATCCCGCACAGATCGGCAGCACGAGAAAAAAAACGGGACGTCCAGCGCGCGCGTGACGTCAGCGCGTTCGTACGCGTGACGTCGCCACGCAGCCGCCGTTGAGCAATGGCAGAGCGCCTGGGCTCGGCGTAGGTGGTGGTGGGGCGGGGCCCAGGGCTGAACGGCGTGCGTCGTGGTGACGTCATGACGCACAGCCGCAACGCGCCGTGGGAGGGGGTTGTGGTTGCGGTGTGTGTGTGTACGTGCCTGTGTGTACGTGCCTATGTGTACGCTTTATGTGTGTGTGCATATAGTAAGAAGCGGTAGTGTAGGGGTTAGCGCGCTGCGCAACGAACCTGGCCACCCTGGTTCGATTCCCGGCTCACGACCAACATCGGTGACTTATTCGAACCGGTCCTGGGCCTCCCCTAGGTCGACTCAGCCTTGAATGAGTTACCTGGTGCGGTGTGTAAACATCGTCACTGGGGAGACAAAGGCGGCCGGGCGTAGTGCTGGCCACCCACTCCCCTCGTGTGCCGTGCCGACCTTCATAGGTGCTCGCTCACAGCACTTGCCCCAACAGTATGTTAAGGCTATACGGGGGATCTTTGTCTTTGTGTGTATGTATATGTCCCTGGGTATTTTGTGCCACTAAACACTCCAACCCGCTCAGCTCCCCAATTGGTTATGGAGCGGTTGTAGAGAGAGTGGAGAGTTTCCCCATACCTGGGCAGTCTGCTGATGACTGCGTAACCCTCCGCACTAAGCTTCAGGTCTTCTCGGCCACGGTCATGCCCTCCCTTGTCTACGCTTGCGAAACGTGGACCCCCCTCTAATGGAACATGAGCGCCGGTTAGAAACATTCAGGCCGGCATTCCTACGATCCATCCTGGGTTTAACCCGCAGGCTGGATTGTGTGAGGAGCTCACAAATCCTTAAAAGATCTGGACACATTCCCATCGGTGAGCTCCTCCGGGCAGGCAAGGCTGCGTTGGCTGGGTCACGTAGCCCGCATGCCCAGCCACCGCATGCCCAGGCAGCTTCTGTTTGGCCGCATAGAGGGGGCTAAACGTGCAAGACAGGCTGGAGAAGACATGCAGCTGATGTGGTTCGGGAGGATGTGGAGCAGACGACTGGTACCAGCAGTGTCAAGATCGGCTTCTATGAAGGAGGCTCGTGAAGGACGCTGCTACTGGGCAGTTGGAGGCAGTCGCCCTCCAACAACGAAGGGGCAGAGGAGCGACGCTCACAACAACGAACGGAGCGCCGGGCGGATAAAATCCAGCAACTTGGCACAGTAGGGGGTACAGGTGGTGCATCTACAGGTCATCTCAGTCAGCCGACCCATGGTACCTGCTGGGTCTGTCCCGGGACCTCTTACTAGCAGCGAGCCTTCGACACGTCGCGTGCCCTCAACGTGCACTTAGCCTGGCACAGGCGCCGTGGTGACGTCACCGTCACTTAGTGGCGAATGGCGCGTATCGATATTGGTAGCGGTGAGCGCCACGTTGCGCTACGAACCCGGCGTCCCGAGTTCGATTCCCGCTCAAGGCCAACATAGGTGACGAATATCCGAACCGGTCCTGGGGTCTCCCCTCGGTCGACTCGGCCTCAAATGAGTACCTGGTGTAGCGGTGTGTAGTAAACATCGCCACTGGGGAGACAAAGGCGGCCGGGCGTGGTGTTGGCAACCCACCACCTCGTGCGCCGTCCCGGCCTTCGAAGGTGCTCGCTAACAGCACTTGCCCCAACAGTCTGCTAAGGCTACACGGGTGATCTTTGTCTTGTGTACCTCAGGATGCATTCCTGTACCGACTCGGGTTATCACACTCGGTTTTTTTTGCGTTCGCGGTAACCGAATGGAAAACGGTGAACGGTTGCCGGTTTCTCCCGCACATATATAGGCATAAATGATAATTGTACATTGGTGTTGGTTTCATTTCACTGTGAAGCGAAGGCAGAAGAAGCTGCTGCTACTGCCAATTTGGTGTAATAATGCGCGGTGGCTAGGAGATGTTAACGACCTCGCCTGGTATACAGGAGGTTGTGCGTTTGATCCTGACCCTGACGCCTGCTGCTGTATATTTGAAGTTTGCATGATGGCGAGATGTGAACTACCTCGCCCGGTATGCAGGAGGTCGTGGGTTTTATCCCCATCCTGACGCCTGTTGTGTATTTGGAGTTCGTGTGTCTCTCTCATCATCATCATGATGCCTATGAGATGTTAACTCCCTCTCCTGGTATGCAGGAGATCGTGCGATTGATCCCGACCCTGACGCCTGCTGTATATTCAGAGTTTGCGTGTCTCTCTTCCCATTGTCGAGTGGATTTTTCACCAGGTCCTCCGGTTTTTTTCCCCACCACAATTCAGAATCAACATCACGAGCTTCGAATATTTGACGACTGCTATAGATTTCCACACGATGACGATAAGTCACTTCGTTGAAGCAGTCATCTGTGATGGCCAGGTCGCTCCTTACCTGGTAAAATAAAACAGAAACACGAATGAAAATCGTAAAATAATATCACGCACACTGGAAGCCGAAGTGAGCGGGGGACTGGGGTCACGATGGTCGAGAGTAACAGCGGAGTGGGGGCGGAGGAGTGGAACGGCATCCGGGAGGACGCCCACAGGGGAGATTTGGGTGGCGATGGGATCGGCCCGTGTGGAGGTGTCGTCATGCAGCAGTGGATTGATCGTGGTTGACGACGACGATGTCGCGGTGGTGGTGGCCACAGTTTGCACGCGACGCTGTCTCTGCGCGTCCTGTAAAATGAATGTTCCTATTATTACGATCACTAATGGTTTAACAGTCATATGTATTTATTGACAATTCAGAAATAACAACGAGGCGACATCGAGTTAATCTTTCAACGCGGAAAGGTAAAAAACGAACACCAACTAACATGGCGCCCTGCCAGTGAAGCGATTTGAGCGGTGATAATTTGACACAAATCCTGGGCGAGGAGTCACGTGAGGCAAGACCCGCAGAGGGAACATAAATTTCACTCAGACATCTCACTCAGACATCTCACTTAGACATCTCAGTTAGACATCTCACTCAGACAGACATCTCACTCAGACATCTCACTCAGACATCTCACTCAGACATCTCACTTAGACATCTCAGTTAGACATCTCACTCAGACAGACATCTCACTCAGACATCTCACTCAGACATCCCACTCAGACATCTCACACATCTCACTCAGACATCTCACTCAGACAGACATCTCACTCAGACATCTCACTCAGACATCTCACTTAGACATCTCACTCAGACATCTCACTCAGACAGACATCTCACTCAGACATCTCACTCAGACATCTCACTCAGACAGACATCTCACTCAGACATCTCACTCAGACATCTCACTTAGATATCTCACTCAGACATCTCACTCAGACAGACATCTCACTCAGACATCTCACTCAGACATCTCACTCAGACAGACATCTCACTCAGACATCTCACTCAGACATCTCACTCAGACAGACATCTCACTCAGACATCTCACTCAGACATCTCACTTAGACATCTCACTCACTCAGACATCTCACTCAGACATCTCACTTAGACATCTCACTCAGACATCTCACTCAGACATCTCACTTAGACAGACATCTCACTCAGACATCTCACTCAGACATCTCACTTAGACATCTCACTCACTTAGACATCTCACTCAGACATCTCACTTAGACATTTCACTCAGACATCTCACTCAGATATCTCACTTAGACAGACATCTCACTCAGACATCTCACTCAGACATCTCACTCAGACAGACATCTCACTCAGACATCTCACTCAGACATCTCACTTAGACATCTCACTCAGACATCTCACTCAGACATCTCACTCACTCAGACATCTCACTCAGACATCTCACTTAGACATCTCACTCAGGCAGACATCTCACTCAGACAGACATCTCACTCAGACATCTCACTCAGACATCGCACTCACTTAGACATCTCACTCAGACATCTCACTCAGACAGACATCTCACTCAGACATCTCACTCAGACATCTCACTCAGACATCTCACTTAGACATCTCACTCAGACATCTCACTCAGACAGACATCTCACTCAGACATCTCACTCAGATATCTCACTTAGATATCTCACTCAGACATCTCACTCACTCAGACATCTCACTCAGACAGACATCTCACTCAGACATCTCACTCAGACATCTCACTCAGACAGACATCTCACTCAGACATCTCACTCAGACATCTCACTCAGACAGACATCTCACTCAGACATCTTACTCAGACATCTCATTCAGACATCTCACTTAGACATCTCACTCACTCAGACATTTCACTCAGACATCTCACTTAGACATCTCACTCAGACATCTCACTCAGACAGCTCACTTAGACAGACATCTCACTCAGACATCTCACTCAGACATCTCACTTAGACATCTCACTCACTTAGACATCTCACTCAGACATCTCACTTAGACATCTCACTCAGACATCTCACTCAGACATCGCACTCACTTAGACATCTCACTCAGACATCTCACTTAGACATCTCACTCAGACATCTCACTCAGACATCTCACTCACTCAGACATCTCAGACAGACATCTCACTCAGACATCTCACTCAGACATCTCACTCAGACATCTCACTTAGACATCTCACTCAGACATCTCACTCAGACATCTCACTCACTCAGACATCTCACTCAGACATCTCACTCAGACATCGCACTCACTTAGACATCTCACTCAGACATCTCACTCACTCAGACATCTCACTCAGACAGACATCTCACTCAAACATCTCACTCAGACATCTCACTCAGACATCTCACTTAGACAGACATCTCACTCAGACATCTCACTCAGACATCTAACTCGGACATCTCACTCACTCAGACATCTCACTCAGACATCGCACTCACTTAGACATCTCACTCAGACATCTCACTTAGACATCTCACTCAGACATCTCACTCACTCAGACATCTCACTCAGACATCTCACTCAGACATCTCACTTAGACATCTCACTTAGACATCTCACTCAGACAGACATCTCACTCAGACATCTCACTCAGACATCTCACTCAGACATCTCACTCAGACATCTCACTTAGACATCTCA